CTTTCCAAACAAAAGAGCTTCATAAGCAGATCACAAGAATGTGTTACCGCGAGCTATTAAAAGTTACAAGATTTTCAGTTCCATACATCAAGGTTTCTCTCAATGGCTTAACTCTCCAGTCTCTTCCCTAAGAAAGCCTGAGCAGTTTGTTTTCAAACTGCACTACGTAACACTGAAATTTTTTGCTTAAAACAATTTTTTTTTTCCTCTAATCATACAAAAATTTACTGTTTACACAGTAATTCCCTCCACAGCCACCTCCCCCCACAAAACACCCAGTTTTTTCCAAGCCCTTAATCCACAGTTCAAGTTAAAGTTTCATTGTCACAGATTAAGGTCACAAAGTACAGGTTTCTTGAAGGAAATAGACCAGAATTTTTGCTCTCTCCCTGCTGACTGCATGCCCATGAAACACAAATGGGGTCAGAGAACTTAACACTGATACCAAAGGCAGCACAGTCCCACAAAGCGATAGAAAATGGCCAGACACAGAACACGGGCAGGGACTGCACAGATACCAGCTTACACCAGCACAGCCAGATGCAGCTGCTTTTTGCCAAAGTTTATGTTTGCGGTTTTAATAATTCAGGACAAAGCGTGAGGATCAGGGTATACTGAAGTGAAGATTATTCAACATCAGGAACAGCCTTAACAGTCTTCATAAACCTGGAGAGAACGTGCCAAGACACCCCTCGTTTCCGAAGTGCTCAGCTCAGAGAGCGCTCGGTTAAGTCAGTCTCCAACAAATTACTCAATACAGTTTTTTAAAAACACACCAAGAGATGATACAGAAGAAGTCTGCAGCTTGAACTACCTATCCATACCTCTCCTGCTGCGGTTCTCCAACACTGAGCTGCCAGACAGCATGCACGTGGATGGTGCTATGTGACCCACAGATCCTGCACAGGCACACACACCAGAGAGGTTCCAAGAAAAACAGGAGCCTGTAGAGGCAAAATTCTAAGCAACACTAACCAGATGAAAGCAGAATAATCGTGGTTCCATATCCCCAGCTCCACCCGGGGTGAAGACACAGTAGTTAGACCAGCTGACAGCAAAGCAAAAACTAAACAAACCGTCAGGTCTGCAAAGCCCAGCGAGTTGAATGGGGAGCAACAGGGCAGAGGGAAAAACAAACTGAAAAGAGAGAATGAAAGAAGCATGGAGCTGAACACCTTTGAGAGCTACTTCCACCAAAATATGAAGGGATAGATGACAGATGACCAGGTCCCTAACATTCCTGATGAATCCACCCAGTGAACGCCATTCTGAAAATAAGCCTTTCTCACTACGCTTCCCGGCCTGTGAGAAGGGGATTTGGGTTGATCCTAACCATCAGAAAGCAAGTCAAGCTGCTCTTTCAAAGTGCTGCCTCAAGAAGCTGTTTCTCAGAAGCAAGAGTCTCTTCCTGCTACTTACAGTGAAGATCTGAAATTCATGATGAAGAAGAGTCTGTAGCCAAGACCAAGAGTTTAAGGGCATGACAGTGAAGTTGCAGCACACGTGTGTTCAGCAGCGATGGCTGGAGCTGTAAGAAGTACAGGTGCCACCAAAAGTTTTGTGGCTTTGCTCCCATAAGGATCAAAACTGAAACAGAAGAGCTGAACCAAGCAGGAATGTTCTGCTGATAGAAACCCAACTAGGGGAATACCATAACCATTGGTCCATCTACAAAAAAAGATGGTCCTTAGGAATTAGGAGTGTTTTCAGTTAACTGCTTATCCATCAAGCCCAGGATTTCAAAATATCTTCAAGGATGCAATATGTAAAGGAAAACCGTGTTTTAATCAATGAAAAATAATTCGATTTCACTTGAAAGAATCACCCCCCTTTTGAATTCCACCTACTGCATTTTGCTAAAAGACATCTTTGGGTAAGAGCTTTTTTTATATCTCCATTAATATACCCTACAGAAACAAGTAATGGAAAGATGCAACCACTTTCCTCTCAACGCTATGACTGACGCCTGTTTTTCTTGCATCTTCTGGACACAAATGCAGAAAATACTTTAAAAAAGTTAAGGTACGTATTTATACTGGGAAATGATGCATAGATGAGGTGGTTTGTTATACAGAGTGGTGTATTTTTTAATCAACATTCTTAACTTGTGTTCATATAACGCCTCCCACAGACACCTGGGCTCACTGGATTTGCAGAATAGGAAACAGCACAAAATGAAGAATATAAACAACCACTACTCTCTCTTTATGGACATTTGTTGGGACAGTATCAGACCGTTTCTTGTGTGCTACCAATTGTGTCGGGTACCTTTCTGGAGCTGCAGTCTTCATATGCATACTGGAGTAGCCCAAAAAAAATCTGAAAGATACTTAATACAGACATGTTCAGGCATTAACAAACCAAAACCTGCTAATGAAGCATATGCTTTTGACTGTTCTCATACTTCATGTTTTCTAGAGCAAATCTGTTCACTGCCATCAGTCACTCACTGCAGTCAGTTTGTCCACAAAGCAGTGAAGGTCTCACTCCACCCCCTTGCTTCTGGTGTCATTTCAATGTCACCGCATCCAAGAAGTACAGATTCACTCCATCAATCCTCTTTGTTCGTTCAGATGCATTCTGCTGCTGCTCATGATCTTCTGCCAGGCTGGAACTAAGAGATCTGCTATGGCAGCTTTAGCTAGAAACAACAGGATATTTGACACTACCAAAATGTCAGTTAAAGCGCAGAAGTAGGACAGGTCAGCTAAAAAGACAACACATGGTGCAGAGGGGGAGGAGCACATAACTGAAAGACTGCAGTGCCTTATGGGTCCTCCATGATATAAAGCAACATCTGGAAAAAACCCCCACAAACCCTTGCATTTGATTGATGGTGGAGGTGATTCAGTAAACTAATTTGAGTTAAATTCCCTTAATCTTTTTGCGTTCTATAAACTGAAAAAAAAGCCTGATAGAAACCCTGCAATTCCATACTGCAGAGAGAAGTATCTATACTTAGGTAATTCAGTCACAGATTATTAGGTAACCAAATGAACTGTACTGCTTTACTACCTTACACAGTTATTTGTATAGGTCTTGTGCTAGGCACTGCGAAGCCAAGCTATCAGCTTCTTACTGTGGTGAAAAAAGTAAGTTTTTAATACAAAAATAGTACCTTAATGATTTAGCTGAAAGTTTAAATTCATGCAAGATATTTAAATGACAGTAAAATAGAAAAACACGTATATATTTCTGCTCTCCAAGACAGACTTCAATTCAACTCAAAAATTCACATAACTGCAAATTAATTCATATTTATCTTCAGTACTACAAACTACAGTGGATTATTTTCATACTTTAAGAAACTGAAAAAACCTGAAACAAAAAGAACAGATAATCTCATCGTTGCTTGCTTCCTTCTAATTTAAATATCTTAGATATTCTTCCTGAGTGAAGTACTTTCTTCCTCTTTTTTACCTTAGAAAGAGTGCTTTTCCCCTGTGTTTTTCATGGAAGCTTACAGAGATGATGTGGGGTGACTGGCTCCTGCAGGGTTAGAGGGGAGCTTTCCTTAAAAACTTTCACAAACATTCAAATTCAAAACCTGTTTGCAATAAATTGCTTTTAATTTTTTAAAATTATTATTAATTAATTATTTACTCCTTTTAATGGCTTTTACCGCTACTGAAAAAGGCAAACAGAAAGTTAAATCTGTGCAACAGATGCAAAATATGAAATCTTTCTAAGTGCATCTCCACCCTTTTCATAATATGCGTATTTTTTTCCTTGAAAGGTGGTATTTCACACATCAATAGTTTCAGACCCAAAAGTCTCCTGAGCACTACTGCACTTGTAAGAGTTGGGGGGTTTTTTTTTGTTTGTTTGTTTTTTAAGGTAGATACAATAAATGGTTAGTCTGACAAAGTGTGAAGTATTCCAGTATTGAAAATAGAAAGGAATACACCCCTATAAGGACTTGGAATTGAAGGCCACACTCTATTCACTGCATATTGTGATCCAGGATCTCTCAAGAATGAACAACTTTCCAAGACCGACATGTACCAAGATTGAACTCAGCTTCTTCTTGTACACGAGACACCTGCATTCATGCCCTCTGCACTTCTC